AAAGGGGAGGAATTCTGACAGCTTTTTAACTCGCCTCAGGGCCTGTGGCAATACCCAACCACATAGCTCTAACTTCTTCCAGAACACTCAGGAGAAAGATCATTCCTATTATTATTATTTTTTTTTAAAAAGGACAGTGGGAATTGGACATAACCTTGACTTAAAGCCCAAATAATTTTACATGAATTTTTTTTTTTTTTTTTTTTTTTTTATTGTAGAGATGAGGTCTCACCCAAGTTGCCCAGGTGGGTCTCGAACCTGCGGGCTCAGGCAATTCACTCACCTCAGCCTCCCAAGGCACGGGGATCATTCCTATTACTAACAACCATGTAGAAAACAAGCCAGAGTAACTTCTGAACACAGGGCGACTAGCAGCAGGAAACTGCCTCCTTAACTGTAATGTGCAGCTTATCTTCTGGAAAAGGAACACCAGTCCTGGGAGTATCATCCTTGAGAAATAAGAGATACAGTCTGTTGTTTCTGCCTCCCAGAAGGAAGAAAGTTGTTAAATGGTGATGTTAGGGTCCCTGGCTCCAAGGGTCTCCTATAAATCTATTCAATCATTCATTTCTTCATTCAGTATATACTGGGTGTCTGTTATGTGCTAGATGTTGGGTATAATGTAGAATATAAGAGATACAGTGTATGCCCTCCAGGAAGTTATAACTGGATGGGAGGGAAAAAGTAAACTAAATCACACACAAATAAGCCTATGCAAGGAACAGGGAAATTAAAAATTAGTACTGCTGGCTTCTTTGGAGCTCTGTACAGACTGGTTTTGAGTCTCCAGCTCTCTCCTCTCCTTCTTCACCCTCCCCTCACCCGAGCCCTGACTCTTCTGCCCACCCAGACCCAGGTGTGGTCCCACTCTCTTTGGTAGGGGCCAGTGGAGACTCCCAAGGAACATTTTGTAAACAAAATTGTCGTGTGGGCGTGTGACTTGAAGTTTGTACCAAGATTTGGGTAATACCAAGCTTTATTAAACATGTCAAGATTATTTTTAACTAAACAAATTAATACAACTATATATCTACCTCTTCAGGAAATGAGTCCTTTCCACAAGAATGCATCTTTCTGTGGCCTCCTTCAGCAGACAGACATCAGTGGGGAAGGAAGTCTTGCAAGTGAAATTGAGTTCTGAGAGAGGCTATAACTTCAAAGCAGAATTTTTTTAAAAAAGAAAGAAAAATGAACAGGAATGAAAGGAGGGTGCTGGTGATCAAAGAGCAAAGTGGGCAGTTACTGCCTAGTGGGTTACAGAGTTTCTGTTTTGAACCATAAAAAAAGGTTCTGGAAATAGACACAACTTTGTGAATGTACTTTAATGCTACTAAACTCTACATTTCAAAATGGTTAAGATGGTCAATTTATGCTATGTATAAGTTACAAAAAAGAAAGAAAAGCAAATTTTTTTAATTTTATTTTTTATTAGTTGAAGTCTCACTTTGTCATCCGGGCTGGAGTGCAGTGGCACACTCACGGCCACTGCAGCCTCAGCTTGCTGGGCTCAGGCGATCCTTCCACCTCAGCCTTCCAAGAAGCTTGGAACTACAGGCATGCACCACCACATCTGGTTAATTTTTTTATTTATTGTAGAGACGAGGTCTCACCATGTTGCCCAGGCTGGTCTCAAACCCCTGGGCTCGCAGGTATCTCGCCTCTGCCTCCCAAAGTGCTGGGATTACAGGTGTGAGCCAGTGCACCCAGCAAAAACAAATTTTTAATTTAACAAGATGTAAAAGAAGGAACAGACTGGGAGCTGATGGAAGGCGGAGGTCCCAGGTGGGGACTAGGAATGAGAAAACCCTTTGGGTGCAATGGGACAGAGACTCAGAAGAATGAAAGTGTGTTAACAGTTTTTAGTTTTTACGCTGTCATTCTGTAAGATGACTCTCCTCTATCCCCCCAAGTTTTATAACAGTCTGCTATACCCAAATGCCTGTTTCTTTGGGACCATCAAGGGAAAGAGCATGTATTCCACATTTAGACAGACACAGCAAGGCAGAGAGAAGAGCCACATGTCCTGAATTCAAGTGAGATATCCTGACGATGCCTAGAAGACATATGTCCCATGAGAAGCCTCAGAGATGCAGGGGTAGTACTGGGTGTCCCACTGCAGGTAGGATGAAGGCTCAAGAATTTGCATTTGAATACTAAAGGGTGGACCAATTCCATAAAGATGGAGGATTTGGAACTGAGCCTTGTGCACTTTACAGCCTGCAAGTTCTTTGGTTAAGTTAAGCTGGGTCTTCACTGAAGAACTATACTGTAGTTTCTACATTATTGCAAATAAAAGACATATTTTTCAGGAAGTAATTTTTATCTTCTGGTGCTTTCTGAGAGCTACCACACTAAAAGGATTAAGGAGGAAAAAAGATAGTTACAAATGATAGACAAAGAAGAGTCAACTAGTGCATAATTGGAATTACTAGAGGAAATAAAACAATGAAATGCCTTAGCTTTTTAAAGATGTAACTCAGGAAAATGTTTCTGAAATAAAAAAAGATCAGTGTTGCTAGGGGTTGGGGGAAAGGAGGGATCAAGAGGTGGAACAGAGGATTTTTAGGGCAGTGAAACAGATCTGTATGATTCTATAATGGTGGATACTTGTCATCCATCATGGGTTGGTCATCCAAACCCATAGACTGTACAACACCAAGAATGAACCCTAATGTAAACTATGGACTTTGGATGCTAGTGGTGTGTCGATGCAGGTCCATCAATTGCAATAAATGAATCACACTTGTGCTGGGTGTTGGGAACAGGGGAGGCATTGTATGGGTGGGGCAGGGAGTAAATAGGAGTTCTCTGTACCCTCTACTTAGTGTTGTTGTGAACCTAAAACAGCTCTAAAAAATAAAGTCTATTTCATAAAAAAGTCAAGGCCATTTCAATTGCAGCAATAAACATACACAGCCTTGATTAAGGGGTCACTGAGCATTGTATCTGACAAGACTTTTTAATCAAGTTTACAATAAAATGTATGGATAATTACTTAAAATAAAAGGTTAAGCCCTGGGGGATGGTGGACAGCAGTGTGCAGTGCCACAGGGCTAGGAAAAAGCCACCCTGACCACAAGGAGATATGACCCAGTACCCTGTCCCAGGGTCCACCACCCTCCCAGTGACCTGCACACATCCAGGTCAGTTCCTGGCTTGAAACCTGTGACCTCCCCCTCTTCCTGGGTGAGCTCCCTGTCCCTGGGCTCCCTCTTCTCTTGCCATCTTTCTGTTGCCCCAAGAGCAGTCATGGAGGTGTCCTGGCACCAGCTGCTCAGTCTCCAGCTTTCTCAGGAGGCCAAGTGGAGTGTGTGGTTTGGCACGGTTCCCAGGGCAGGGAGAAGAGAGGGAGATGGAAGTGAGTTTGCTTCTGTGGGGCTGGGGCAGAAGCAGGAAATGTGGAAAGTGTGCTGGGCAAGCTCTGAGGTTAAGAAAACCCTGTTCCACTAGGGCATCCAGAACAACAGAAACCAGGGAATCAGTGGTCCCTGGGTGTGGTCTCAGTTTCTTTTTTTTTTTTTTTTCT